GTTGCATAGCGACACTTATTGTTGAGGTGTCTTTTAATAAGCAGGTAGTCATATCATTAGCTAGAACTAGCTGGATCTGATCGATATGGACATAAACGCGAGTGAAGTCTAATCTGACGGGAGAGAGAGATCAGCTGCTGCTGACGAGTCGACACGCAGCTCTGCATGATCAGCGGTGAGCGGACAAAACACACACCTCAGGTTAGAATATCACACGTTGCTATTTTAATGACCTCTCAAACTACTGTAACTAGTTATAGATATGTTTAGTTTTACTGTCGGGTCACTCATTACTGATCCGCGAGCTGCATGATACTGACAGGCTGTCAGGAGAGGGAGAGCGCTCCGTTTATTATTCCCGTGTTATTGTAAATTACTGTTCACTTTTGAATAATGTAGTTAATTTACTATAATTAGTTTAATATTGAATCATATCAATTTGTTTTAAAGCTCAATAAATAAAGACCTTTGACCGGCACTTTTCTCATTTTGTCCGGAAGATTTAAACTTTAACGGACATGTTGACCGGCGAAGAAATATTCTAACGGGAACTCTGGTGTGTGTGTGTGTGTGTGTGTGTGTGTGTGTGTGTGTGTGTGTGTGTGTGTGTGTGTGTGTGTGTGTGTGGAGATGTCTTCCATCTGCAGGATGAATACACTCATACTCATTTATTTCCATGGCGGTCAATTTGGGCGGCGGCCGAAAACATCATGGGTGTTTCACTGTTGAATAAATCACTACAAAATCAATGCAAGTGGTGATCATCAATTGTATAAGTTCAGAGGCCTAGTGTGGAGGATAACATAAGGTCTTGAGGCAATTGGACGAAAAACACAATATTTATGATAAAAAACAAAGTCACTCGGTCACTTTTGACCCGAAACGCAAAAGGGTTAACTACGGTCAATAAATCCTTGACAGCGGTCTGTACTACTGGATTAACAACGTGTCACGTGTTCTGAATTGACCAATCACAATCGAGTATTCAACTAAACCATGTAATAATGTGGTTTAGCTGAAGGAAGCTTTTAACCATCCAGGATGTAATATCATCAATGAGAACAGCTCTGATGCACTGCAAAGATATGTCAGAATCAAACTTGTTGAGGTTTTACATTCAACCTTAAATTCTCTGTAATTTTTGCGTGATACAAAAAACCATAAGGCTATTTTAATCGATGGTCATATATTTTACATTTGCTAAGTATGTAAGGTTAAGACTAGTGGTGGACAAAGTACTCAGATATTTTATTTAAGTAAAAGTATTAATACTACAGTGAAGAAATACTATGTAACAAGTGAAAGTCTTGCAAAAATGCTAAATTAAACTTGAGTAAAAGTAGGGGCGTAATATGCATTAACATGAAAATGTAAATTACAGTTTCTCGATTGCTAACACACATTTTTTTTTTTAATTGCTCAGTTTCTCAGAACACTAAACTCAATTCACAAAACCACACACCCAAAGTGCAAAACACCTAATTTATTCTGCTAAGTGAAGAACTGCACTCAAAACTACATAAGCTTTACATATCTCTTCCAGTCAATCCCATCATGTATACCGCAAAGCTATTTTAAGAAATTAGACTCTATTCTAACCGCCTTCATCTGGCAATATAAAGCGGTGCGTATCGGCAAGAAACACCTTTGTAAAGCTAAATATGAGGGAGGGTTTGCTCTACCAAATGTTAGATGTTATTACTGGGCAGCACATTTAAACATTCTGGCTTTCTGGAGAAGTGGTACCCTCACTGAGGGCACTGAGGAGGACACTCCAGCCTGGCTTTCTATGGAGCGGGCGGCCTGTCTCGAAACTTCTCTCCCAGCCCTTCTGAATAGCCCAGTTAAGACTAATAAATTACTATATGCAGGGAACTTTCTGGTACACAATTCTCTTAAAATATGGAAACAAATTAAAACATACTTGAAAGCCCCAATATGTACATAGACAGCCCAATCTGTGGCAACCACGCCTTTAAACCGGCCAGCGTGGATTCCGCGTTTGCTCGCTGGAAGGAGAAGGGAGTGGAGTACTTGAAGGACTTGTACCAGGGGACCACTTGATGTCCTTCGAACAATTGAGGAACAAATACGATCTCCCAGCCTCACACTTTTTTCGATATCTACAGATCCGGAGCTTTATGAGGTCTCATATAGCTACATTTGCAGATATACCACAGCATCGGGCACTTGAAGAGATAATTAATGTTAGACCAGGATGTAGAGGAGCAGTGTCAACCCTATACCAGATACTTCTTAGTCAGGAAGTAGTCAGCACAGAAAAGTATAGAACTGAGTGGGAGACAGAATTGGGTATGCCGATCACTGAGGAATGTTGGGAAACATGTTTTAGGAATATTCACCGGTGCTCAGTAAATGTTAGATTAAATCTGATACAATTTAAAGTTGTACATAGGTAGCACTACTCAAAAGTTAAAGTAAACAAGATGTATTCCAGCGTATCAGCATTATGTAACAAATGTAAAAATCAACCTGGCACCCTGACACACATGCCCCAACCTCCACTCATTCTGGACTTCTGTATTTGATTTGTATTCAAAAGCATTTGACAAGCAATTGAAGCCTGATCCCCTTGTGGCCATTCTGGGGTCCACGAGTGACACTGATCTGAACTATGGCAGTGACAAATGGCCGGTGGTTTTGGGTACTGTTTTGGCTAAAAAACTTATTTTGAGGTTATGGAAGTCTGATGCTGTGCCTTCGTTTGAGATGTGGCTGAGGGAGTTGGGTGAGATCCTCTACCTGGAGAAACTTAGATTCAAGAATGCAGGAAGGGGGAGAGTGTTTGATAAGGCCTGGGCTCCAGTGATGAGACACTTAAGAGGTCTGGGTGAGGATGAAGGTGTGGGATGAATGATCAATACTGTTAATCCTGTAACTTTTATCTTGTTGTTATTACTGGGCAGCACATTTAAACATTCTGGCTTTCTGGAGAAGTGGTACCCTCACTGAGGGCACTGAGGAGGACACTCCAGCCTGGCTTTCTATGGAGCGGGCGGCCTGTCTCGGAACTTCTCTCCCAGCCCTTCTGAATAGCTCAGTTAAGACTAATACATTACTGTTAGTGTTTTCTTCAATTTGCTATGGAAATGTTTTCTTTGTCCTGGACTGCCCTCTTGTTTCTAGCATGAATATTGCATTTCTTGTTATCTCGCCCATGGATGTGTTTTAAAACCGCCAACTGCATTAGTATGTTCTGAATCCGCTGTTTTGTTGTTACTGAAAATGGAAAATATGATTGCTTTGTTATACCAATGCGGTTGGTACAATACATTTCTGCAATAAAACAATTCTTAAAACTACATAAGCACTTACCAAATGCAAACTTTAGCACCGAATATAACACACTTCATTCTTAATACTATATGGTTTGACCACCCAGCTACACACTGCTGAGCATACTCTAAAGCACTTCCATCTGTTATGGGCTGTGCTCTGTACAGAGAGGGTTCTGCAGAGAGAGATTGCTTGAGTTTACAGAAATACAGTAAATGAAGAAATACAAAATGAGTTGTTGAAAGAAATCACATTTTATTCAAAGATAACATTGTGCAGCATCTCAGCACATAGCTACTCTGCTTCGGATCTCTCTAAGTGGGATGCATTGTTTGCCAAAACCCAGTTAGTAGCTGCTGCTTCCTGCCTCATTGAAAACCCTTAGCCTTCCACCTCTTTGTTTCTCAGTCCTTCAGATAAACAACAAAGACATAGTGGTCGGTCAGTGTGTGTGTCGCATACAAGTAAGTTTACCACAGTACATTGTGCAGGATGTCTGTACAGTTATAGTCTGCAACATGCCAACAATTCAATTACAGTAATGAAGTCAATACGTTTCACACAACAGATATAAGCTCTGATATATCATGAGTTATGCAGAGCTATAAACTGGGAACTAACCTGTTTTCAAGTCTAAGTGGCCGGATTACAGAGGCGACAGTAAATCGGCTTAGGCTGAACCCTCTGTCCAGCCTCTCATCGACACACCATGGTTGATAACATTTCATTAGAGAGTATTCTTATTTGTCCACGTCCTCTCCCTCCAGCTCTACCTCTCATTCTTCCTCCTCTCACTCTCACCCACCTCTTCTTCCTCCTCTCACTCTCACCCACCTCTTCCTCTTCCTCTTCCTCTTGCTCTTCCTCTTCCTCTTGATCTTGCTTCCATGTTGGCTTCCATTGTTGCTGTAAGAAAGTACTCACCTGTGGTCTTTTATAGTGCTAACATCCTGATTGATGAGCCAACAATTATGCTATCAAGTGTTTGGTCAGGTGGAACGTGTTTCTTGATCATTGGTCCATGTGTGAGGCATTTTGAATATCAGTGGTATGTGCTAACACGTTATGTCAGATTGCTGTGTCTCACGTGGAGAGACGTGTGCAGTGGTTTGCACAAAGTGCCATGTTGATTTGCAAATTGTGTGAAAAGCTGAAACCGTGTTTAAAGTTTTGGAGATTTGAGCCGATGTTTTGCTCTTTGAGTGTCAGTTAAAATAATTGTGCTTTATGTAGAATTTTAGTGTGTTAGCAATCGAGAAAAACTGTAAAGTTGAAGTAGACTTATTACTGCAGAACTTTGAGAGTAATGTATGTTATTAAATACTAACTATTAATGCATTAATGATTGTTTTTTTTAACCATATAATTAAGGGCTGTCAGATAGGTAAACAATTTGGCCAAGGGTCGGGATCAATAAAGTGTTTCTCTAACTTTAATGACACATGGTAAAACGAGAGTTAATTGTATTTTGTATTATTCATTCGTAGCCTATCTTTAAAGAAACTAGCTGCATGTCAGATCAAATGTAAATAGGCCTATTTTCTCTCAACTGTAGCGGAGTAAAACTGTAAAACAGCAGGAAATGGAAGTGATCAGCCTAATTCAAAATGTTATAAGTACAGTAGCCTAATTAAGTAAATGTAGGGTACTTAGTTACTGCCCTTAAGTGATTTATAATATAAATAACCTCGGTGTAGTTTGAGTGTTGTGTGTTTGCAGGGCAGGTACAACGTGTTCTTCTGCTCAGCAGCCGGATCCTAAGCCTCTCACAGGAAGCGCTGAGGATCCACGTCGCCAAAAGAAAATGCGGCAAGTCACACAGCAGTGGAGCGATTCTAACCGGAAACGGCTAGAGTCGGGGCCTATTGACTTCAAAATAAAAGCATTGCATTTATTACCATTACATCGTAAAAGAAAGGGCTACTTGTAAGGTGTTCAAATGTTTTACTTAAAAGACAGCATCTGCATGTTTTGGCTTGTAGTCACCACGCATAAAACCATGTTAGAGTTTGATATGTATATTGTGCAATAACGTCATTTTTCAACGTCAACATTTTCAGAGAACCAGTTTGACTCTTATTGTGAAACTAAAACCGGAAGTCTCAATGTTTTTACTCATGTTCGCTTGGTCACAGTTTTCTCTCCAGGTTGAGTTTAAGAGAAGCCCGACGAGGGCAACAGGGAAGCGGATTATTTCACCGGACAGCACGGCTGAGACTCACTGACGTGGAACCATGGTAGGAGAATTAAACAAACACAAAGCTTCGCAATAACTTTGTTTATGTGTTGATTGTTGTTCGGTTGCTCTGCGTCAGTGGCACGCGACACCGTGTGCGAAGCTACACTGTCCACAAACCTTCAGAATAACAAACTCCATTCAAAGTACACTGTACAGTACATCTATGCATGCGACAACAAAACCCCAAAACTGCACATATTTCATGACACAAAGTGAAAACCAGCAGAAAAGATCATTCCTCATTTGTACGTTGTTATGACAAACTTTTTAGATGTGTTTACAAGAGGTTTTTAGGCCTATTCATGCCATTTCAAAGGACACAAAGCAAAAGCTACTTATTTTCATTGACAGGCTTTAACTGAAAGTCATTGTGGAGCAGGCATGCATATTAAATCTGGAATGGGAAGTATTGACAGACACACCCCCTCCTTTAGGGCCTCCTATCTCCAAAACATGAACAATAATATGCCTTACGAAATAAAAGTCATTGAATTAAGTGTATTTAATGCAAAACAATGCCTCATAGACTATAATATTGTACATATTGCCTATTGAGTCAAGTCAGGTATTTGTTAGGAAGCCAGACTACCTATCCACATTTAAGAGTGGGTTAAAGACTTTCCTTAATAATACATCTTATGGTTAAGGCTAGCTCAAAGTGACATTACAATTTTTCAATACAGCAAATTACATACATATGTCATTCAGGTTGTCTGTTATACGTGTATGTGTTTTTAATCTTAGTCATGTAATGTTGTTGATGTGTGTACCCTGTAAACCCCCCAGAGACAAGGGCTTCTCTTGTGATAGTGAGATATTTGAATACATTTAGATTTGATTTGAGTGCTTCAACAATCTTTTATAAAAGGACAACTCCCTGTTGAGAGCGGCTATCTTTTTATATATATTTTTCCCTTATGTTACTTCCTAGCCTCTGCGGTTGGACATTAAGCGGAAGCTGTCGGCTCGCTCAGACCGGGTGAAGAGCACCGACCTGCACCCCACTGAGCCCTGGATGGTGGCCAGTCTGTACAGCGGCACCGTGGTGGTGTGGAACCATGAGACACAGGTTACTATCATCCACCTACACACTCCTCTACACACACCTCTACACACTAATCTACACACTCCTCTACACACTCAAACACATGTCTGATCACTCGCCTAAGCACAGTCATTAATTCAAGGTTCAAGTTCCAGGATTCAAGGCTTTTATTGTCATGCTACGGTGTGGTTATGACAATGAAAATCTTAGGTCACAGGCTAACAGTGCAACACAATAAAACAGATAATAGTGCAAGAAAGTACAAAAAAATAGGATATAATAGAAATAGTGCAAGAATAGAATAGTCTATATATACAAGTAGTTGGAATATTGATATATATAAGTTGCAAACAGATGAATGTTATGGATGTTCTTTAAAAAGTTCAGGTGTTCCTTGAGTTCAATTCACACACACAATCAGTTCATATTTTATTTTCCTTACGATGATCTGATGGATAGAAAGTGTGTGTGATGTGTACTATCTGCTGTGTGTGTAGATGATGGTGAAAACCTTCGAGCTGTGTGACCTGCCTGTCAGAGTGGCCAAGTTGTAGCCAGGAAGCACTGGGTCATCGCCGGAGCAGTGAGTATTGTGCTTCAAATAAAGGGTCATTATTTGTATTTGTATCAGTGTTTTTGTCTGGGAATAATCTCACTTGTTGGTCTGTCTGTCCGCAGGATGATATGCAGATCCGAGTGTTTAATTACAACACTCTGGAGCGAGTTCACATGTTCGAGGCTCACTCCGACTACATCCGCTGCATCGTGGTGCATCCCAGCCAGCCCTATATCCTCACCAGCAGCGGTAAGGAAGAACCACATGAACACCTTTTTTAAACTACAAAAGTCGGGGCGTATTTGCAAAACACTCAACATCGTATGTTTTCAGATGACATGTTGATCAAGCTGTGGGACTGGGAGAGGAAGTGGACGTGCAGTCAGGTGTTTGAGGGACACACTCACTACGTCATGCAGATCGTCATCAACCCCAAAGACAACAATCAGTTTGCCAGCGCCTCTCTGGACAGAACCATTAAGGTACACACACACACACACACACACACACACACACACACACACACACCACACACACACACACCACACATCACACACACACCACACACACACCATACCACACACACACACACACACACACACACACACCAATCTCTCTCTCACACACACACACACGCACACACAATCTCTCTCACACACACACAATCTCTCTCTCATACACACACAGCACACACACACACACACACCACACACACACACACCACACACACACACACAATCTCTCTCTCACACACACACAATCTCTCTCTCACACACACACACACACACACACACCACAATCTCTCTCTCACACACACACAATCTCTCTCTCATACACACACATACTCTCTCTCACACACACACAATCTCTCTCTCATACACACACACACACACACACACACACACACACACACACACACACACAATCTCTCTCTCACACACACACAATCTCTCTCTCACACACACACATACTCTCTCTCACACACACACATACTCTCTCTCACACACACACACACACACACACACACACACACACCAGAGTTCCCGTTAGCCGGCAAATCTAAATCTCTCCGGTCAAAATAATTTCCCTTTAGCCCAATACCGCATCAGTTGCGCCACTGATGTGACAGACAAAAGAGTATGTGACAGACAATAATAGTCAATTCTAATGTCTAACACTTAATGTGGAGAAAGAGATGTCCTGGATGGGTTGATTGTGCGTTGATCTGTTGGTAATGCCTCGGGGTTCCGGTGGGCATGTAAAGAAATGCATAATGCTGAGCTATACTTTGTGGCCTCACCCAGTTGCATAGCGACACTTATTGTTGAGGTGTCTTTTAATAAGCAGGTAGTCATATCATTAGCTAGAACTAGCTCTGATCGATATGGACATAAACGCGAGTGAAGTCTAATCTGACGGGAGAGAGAGATCAGCTGCTGCTGACGAGTCGACACGCAGCTCTGCATGATCACCTGCAGCGGTGAGCGGAACAAAACACACACCTCAGGTTAGAATATCACACGTAGCTATTTTAATTACCTCTCAAACTACCGTAACTAGTTATAGATATGTTTAGTTTTACTGTCGGGTCACTCATTACTGGATCCGCGAGCTGCATGATACTGACGGGCTGTCAGGAGAGGGAGAGAGCGCTCCGTTTATTATTCCCGTGTTATTGTAAGTTACTGTTCACTTTTGAATAATGTAGTTAATCTACTATAATTAGTTTGTTTAATATTGAATCATATCCATTTGTTTTAAAGCTCAATAAATAACAAAGAAGACCTTTAACCGGCACTTTTTGTCTGGAAGAATTCAACTTTAACGGACATGTTGACCGGCGAAAAATTATTCTAACGGGAACTCTGACACACACACACATATACCATGTATACATAAATTCAGAGGACATTACATTGACTTACATGCATTTCCTGGAGACTTACCCTAACCTTAACCATAACCAACACATGCCTAACCCTAACCAAGTCTTCACCCTAAAATTAATGAATCCCCTCATAGGGACCTCCATTTTGTCCCCATAAGGGCGGCGAGTCCCCACACGTCACTGTGTAAACAGATTTAGGTCCCCACAAGTATAGTAATGCTAGGCCACACACACACACAAGCAAATGTGTGTAAGACAGACAAAAGAAAGAAGGTTTGTGCTGCACTTCAAGTTAAAAATGAAAGTAATAGTGACAGAAAGAAGGGGCGGAGACATTTGCTTTACAGACAGAGAGACGGATACAGATAAATGGTTAATATATGAATCTATGTTGCTACAAATTGTGAATGGATAAAAGCCTATATACAGCATATTGAACCACAGCAAATAACAAGCTTTTCCATGTGTTATGAATGAAGTTGAGAAAATATAGCAAAGACAAGTTCAACCGCAACTACTGTAACCCAAAAGATCTATCATGGCTTCTATGCAAAGAGTGAACAGGAAATGTGGGGGGTGATAAGAATGATTCCCTTTTTATAGTTTGTCAAATAATTTCAAGCTGTACTCGCGAAAAACACTATGATGTAAAAGCAACTATGGGCTTAGACCAGGGCTATTCAATTAGTTTGGAATGGGGCCGGTTGATGACAATGATCCAAAGCAAGGGGCCGGGATCAAGATGGCTTGAAATATGAGCTTCAGATCCAGTAAATACTACGACAGCATAGTGGAGTGCATATATTGTGTTTAATCAAACAACATAGCCCCAAGGCCTTTCTAGATCTAAATGGCAAGTTCAGAACTCAGTACATGTGAAGCTAATTTAACCGACAACATCATTTGATTTCATTTAGGTGAAATGATCTAATCATTCACGCAGAGATGCAATCAATGACAGGAGTTGTCACTACAGTAGCTAGTAGGTGGGTTCGAAACCCGAGCCCGCCGAAGTTTTCAGGCAATGTCTTCCCCTCTATCTCTCAATGTAACACCCTCTCTGGAATAAAGGCACTCTGGTAGATTACTTTTTAACATTATACTTAAATAAATCGCATGTTAATTACTTATTTTTCTAGCAGGAAAAACGAATTATACGCCGGTTTTCTTTCACGCAAACAAATCAGAGAAACAGAATTGAAAGCAGCGCTGCCTCTCAGTCAGGGGACTTTTCTACACCCTCACTCCCAACACCACTTCTCAGAGATGGAGAGCTTTAAATTATCTCGATCAGGCCCTTACAAAACCCGTCCTCTTTGTTCTACCCTACTACCTATCTAAGGTTTAAATATCCTAAGTGGTTTAAAGGTCAAAGATGGGTTCGGGTAACGGGAACATATGTTGACTTGGGATGCAAAATGGATGAAAGAGAAGGATGGTATGGTATCACTGCCTGGTACGGTAACTTGACAGTGCAGTCAGTCACAGATCGCTCGCCTGGTTCAGACTGCTATGAAAATGATGGGGGTTAAGAAACACCCATCTGTCCAAAACATATGCGAGCAGTTCATTATCAGACAGGCAAAAATAAATTGTGTCTGATCCCACCCACATACTCCACCCAGAAGTGCCTGTGTTATTCATGTGTTGTTATCTTTGCTTTTGAATGTGTTTTCTTAATGTCTTTCATTTAAATTAGTGCTGTCAAAATTATCGCGTTAACGGCGGTAATTAATTTTTTGAATTAATTGCGTTAAAATATTTAACGCATTTAACGCATGTGCAGAATGGCCCGCCCCATACGTCCCACCAGTGGCAGCGCCAGGGTATGGCTGGGGTAGGCTACACCCATACCAAGAAATGGCTTAGCCCCACCATGAGAAATGATGTTAAAGTAAGCTAAATAAAGTCCGCTAACTCGCGCGGAGTAAATTGCACAGACGGCAGTTAGTCAGATTGATTTCAGCCACTCGTCTGGAAATACCGAAGACTAGAAACAGTGTTGAAAACTTTTGTCACGTAATGATCGTCTTCTCAATAGAACATCTTTGATAATGTCTCCTGGCCAATCAGAATCAAGATAACGGCGTGGTGTTGTTGCAGGAAGTCCCGACGGAGAATACTTTTGCTGTAGTACATCTCTATATACATCGATGCAACATTACGTGTTGATAGAAATCAACACGTAATGAAATAAGACCCCACGGTTTGATGATTGATAGGTGTGTGGGCTGTCTTTCATTTTGACACACAGAACAATGTTATAATAAACGTATGTTAAATGGATATATCCGCCTTCTTTCATTTATCTTTCCATTCCCACAACAATATACATAAACGGTGATTAATCATGATTAATTAAGTTTTAAGCTGTGATTAATCTGATTAAAAATTGTAATCGTTTGACAGCCCTAAGTTTTTGTAAAGCACTTTGAATTGCCTTGTGTTGAAAAGTGCTGTATAATAAACTTGCCGTACCCTTTTTTCTTTCCTTGCAGGTGTGGCAGCTCGGCTCCAAGACCCCCAACTTCACTCTGGAGGGCCACGAGAAGGGAGTGAACTGTATCGATTATTACAACGGAGGAGACAAGCCCTACCTCATATCGGGGGCCGACGACCGCCTGGTCAAGATCTGGGATTATCAGGTAATGAACTGTACTCTAAAATAAATGGCTTCTAGCCTGAACCTAATCCTGATAAATGGCTTTTCCCACCTCTCAGGTCCTACAAATAACTTTCTGATACACATGTTTAATATATAAAGCCAACGCAGTCTTTCTGCCTCACCCGTCTGTATTTATCCACTAAAGAAAATAATTGCACTGTTTCTTGTTAAAAGGACAGTATGAAATACAATTGAACTAAACTTCTCTATCATTAAGAATACATATTTCTTTTTCCAGACAGTCAAGACGTCCAGTTTGAACAAATATCTTTCTTGTCAATCTTCTATATTAAGTAAATGAATCCATAACTGAGCTGTACATATCTGCAAGTGAGCGACACATGGTTTTCATCACATAAGTATAAGAATAGCAGGAAAGTAGCTTTAATTAAAGCAAGATGTATTTATTTAATGCACCATATCAGTTTCACTTTCAACTTAAAGACTGCAAGGAATCTGGGTGTGACCCTAGATAACAACCTGTCCTTCACTGCAAACATCGCTGCTACAACCCGCTGCTGCAGATACACGCTTTACAACATCAGGAAGATACGTCCCCAGCTGACTCAGAAAGCGACTCAGGTTATGGTCCAGGCTCTCGTCATCTCACGCCTAGACTACTGCAACTCCCTCCTGGCTGGTCTACCTGCATGTGCCATCCGACCTCTGCAGCTCATCCAGAATGCAGCGGCTCGTCTGGTCTTCAACCTTCCTAAATTCTCCCACACCACTCCGCTCCTCCGCTGCCTTCACTGGCTTCCGGTAACTGCTAGAATCCACTTCAAGACACTGGTACTTGCTTACCATGCTGCGAATGGATCTGGCCCTTCCTACATCCAGGACATGGTTAAACCGTACACCCCAGCACGTGCACTACGCTCTGCATCAACCAAACGGCTCGCTGCGCCCTCGCTGCGAAGGGGACCCAAGTTCCCATCAGCAAAAACACGTGGGTTTGCTATCCTGGCTCCAAGATGGTGGAATGAGCTCCCCATTGAAATCAGGACAGCAGATAGCTTACACACCTTCCGGCGCAGACTGAAAACTCATCTCTTTCGACTCCACTTCGAGCGATAGATTTATTAACAAAGCACTTTTATACTAATAAAGGGCTGGCTTATCTAAAGCCAGTTGAGTAGCACTTGAAATGTTTGGCTCTATGAAACCTGATGTACTTTTATGATTCTGTTTTCTTCAAGGTTGTGTCTTCCTGGTCGAATGTACTTATTGTAAGTCGCTTTGGATAAAAGCGTCAGCTAAATGTAAAGTAATGTAATGTAACTTCCGTTAACTCCAGTGGAGCAGAAAGCATGTGTCTATTTTTCTTAACCTGAGATGTTTACTTCTAAAAAGCCTGGTGCAATGTTATGAGTGACATAAAGTGTGTGTGTGTGTGTGTGTGTGTGTGTGTGTGTGTGTGTGTGTGTGTGTGTGTGTGTGTGTGTGTGTGTGTGTGTGTGTGTGTGTCCATCCATCCTCCAGAACAAAACGTGTGTTCAGACGTTGGAGGGTCACGCCCAGAATGTGACCTGCGTGTGTTTCCACCCCGAGCTGCCAATCATCCTCACCGGCTCCGAGGACGGTACGTCGTGTATTTCAACAAGTTACAAAAACACCACAACATCTTGGTTACATTTGACCTCTTTGTTGTTATGTGATTAATACTAATATACACGTTATATACAGTGTGCACATTTGACCTTAACTTCTTCATTTTAACTTTATTTTATCTTTGCATTGAACCTTTTAATTTAACGTATTTATATATAATAGCTGTGTTTTTATTTTCTTTCATCTTTTTATTGGATATTATTATTTTATTTCACTTTTTACTTTAACTACTTAGTGGACATCGTATGGTTAAAAAATATATTTCATGTTATTATTGCACTTTAAAATAAATATTTGTAATATATTTGATGTATTTATAGTTTTTTTAATCTTTTATTTCATTTTAAAACGGGCCAACTGTCACAGCATCCAATTCCCCCCGGGAAAATGAAGTGTTTTGATTCTGACTACCCACAGGCACTGTTCGGGTGTGGCACTCCAACACCTACCGGCTGGAGAACACTCTGAACTACGGCATGGAGCGGGTCTGGTGTATCTCTGGACAGGCGGGGTCCAACAGTGTGGCGCTGGGCTACGATGAAGGCAGCATCATCATCAAGGTACATCACTTACACTGGAAGAAATGCTGCTCCAAAAACAAGTTAAACAATAATAAAAACAAGGTGTTTTCACTTGAAATAAGAACAAAAATCTGCCAATAGAACAAGTGAAAATGTGCTTGGTAAGAGAACTTGAAATAAGAAGGGATATTTAGGTAAATCAGATCTTGTAATTAAGTCGGAGAAAACATTTTGAACTATATTTGACCAGAATTAGGAAATGCTGTGTTACAATATAAGCCGCTAATACTCAAAAGTGTTTCTGTTTCATGATGTTAGACTTTCTAATAAATATGTAAAAAAACATGTTTCATCTGAGATACAACTCAAAATAAGATTATTTGACTCAACAAGATGATGCATTGTCTAAAAACAAGACCTGATATCTCACTGCAGTGTTACTTAGGGTGTAGAGACATATTCTGACTAGATATTAGACACATACAAGATTTTGAGTTTTTGTAGTGTAGTGAAAGGAGCCAGTTGAGGTGGTTTGGGCACCTAGTAAGGATGCCACCTGGGCGCCTCCCTAGGGAGGTGTTCCAGGCACGTCCTGCTGGGAAGAGACCAAGGGGTAGACCTAGGACCAGGTGGAGGGATTATATCTCTTCGCTGGCTTGGGAGCGCCTTGGGATCCCCCAGTCAGAGCTGGTTGATGAGGGGAAAGGAACGTTTGGGGCTCTCTGCTGGAACTGCTACCCCCGAGACCCGACCACGGATAAGCGGGAGAAGATGGATGGATGTAGTGTATAGCATTTCTCTATATGTCTTGTACTTGTAGTGGGAACTTAAACCATAAAAGGTCTAACGGTGTCACAATTGAACTGCTACTGATGCTACAGGTAGCAATTCTGAGGCAGAATAAAAGTCCATTATCCAGGCAAGAGTATCATTTATGCCGTTTATTTTTTCTCTCTTCAACACTCAACCGTTCAAAGAACAAGGGCTTCTCTTTCCCTGGTAAAAATACACATAAGCCTGTTTCCCTTCTTTAGCCACTTTCACATTTAGAGTACAGACCAATCGATAGACTATTGGAAAGCCCTCTTTTGTTAATGGGCCCCTGTGGACAGCAGCAGGAAGCGGCTGACTTAGGAAATCATCAGGGCTGCAACTCATTATTGTGAAATCTCGTTTGGTTTATAAATGTCAGAAGAAATGCCCAAACCAGTCCTTGAAAAAAAGTCCTTGCTGATGTTTTTAAATGTCTTGTGTGTGATGTATTGTGAATAACACCATAGTGAACATTGAAATTCCCCCCAGGGAGTAATAGAGTATCTCTTACTCTTAATTAATGAGTACTTACGATACGATAATACTTTATTGGTCAGATCAAGTCTGACATTTGACTTGCATCACAGCAGCTCCATGTGTAACATCAACATGGACACATATCAAGACACGATACATGATGAAAAAAAACACTTGATAAATAAACGTTCCTTACCAGAGGTGGGAAGTAGTGGAGTACAAATACTTCGTTGCTGTACTTAAGTACATTTTTCTGGTATCAGTACTTTACTCCACTATTTATTTTTCCGACGACTTTTTACTTTTACTTCTTACATGTTGAACACAAATACCTGTACTTTCTACTTCTTACATGTTGAACACAAATACCTGTACTTTCTACTTCTTACATTTTGAACACTAATACCTGTACTTTCTACTTCTTACATGTTGAACTCAAATACCTGTACTTTCTACTTCTTACATGTTGAACACAAATACCTGTACTTTCTACTTCTCACATGTTGAACACAAATACCTGTACTTTCTACTTCTTACATTTTGAAAACTAATACCTGTACTTTCTACTTCTTACATGTTGAACTCAAATACTTGTACTTTCTACTTCTTACATGTTGAACTCAAATACCTGTACTTTCTACTTCTCACATGTTGAACACAAATACCTGTACTTTCTACTTCTTACATGTTGAACTGAAATACTTGTACTTTCTACTTCTTACATGTTGAACACAAATACCTGTACTTTCTACTTCTTACATGTTGAACTGAAATACCTGTACTTTCTACTTCTTACATGTTGAACTGAAATACTTGTACTTTCTACTTCTTACATGTTGAACACAAATACCTGTACTTTCTACTTCTTACATGTTGAACACAAATACCTGTACTTTCTACTTCTTACATGTTGAACTCAAATACTTGTACTTTCTACTTCTTACATGTTGAACTCAAATACCTGTACTTTCTACTTCTTACATGTTGAACTCAAATACTTGTACTTTCTACTTCTTACATGTTAAACTCAAATACCTGTACTTTCTACTTCTTACATGTTGAACTGAAATACTTGTACTTTCTACTTCTTACATGTTGAACACAAATACCTGTACTTTCTACTTCTTACATGTTGAACACAAATACTTGTACTTTCTACTTCTTACATGTTAAACTCAAATACCTGTACTTTCTACTTCTTACACGTTGAACACAAATACCTGTACTTTCTACTTCTTACATGTTGAACTCAAATACCTGTACTTTCTACTTCTCACACGTTGAACACAAATACCTGTACTTTCTACTTCTTACATGTTGAACTCAAATACCTGTACTTTCTACTTCTTACATGTTGAACTCAAATACCTGTACTTTCTACTTCTCACATGTTGAACTCAAATACCTGTACTTTCTACTTCTTACATGTTGAACTCAAATACCTGTACTTTCTACTTCTTACATGTTGAACTCAAATACCTGTACTTTCTACTTCTCACATGTTGAACACAAATACCTGTACTTTCTACTTCTTACATGTTGAACTCAAATACTTGTACTTTCTACTTCTCACACGTTAAACACAAATACCTGTACTTTCTACTTCTTACATGTTGAACACAAATACCTGTACTTTCTACTTCTTACATGTTGAACTCAAATACCTGTACTTTCTACTTCTTACATGTTGAACACAAATACCTGTACTTTCTACTTCTTACATGTTGAACACAAATACCTGTACTTTCTACTTCTCACATGTTGAACACAAATACCTGTACTTTCTACTTCTTACATGTTGAACTGAAATACCTGTACTTTCTACTTCTTACATGTTGAACACAAATACCTGTACTTTCTACTTCTCACATTTCCCAAACAGCTGGTTCCTTTAGTCTGAATGTGTGTTTGGTGCGTGATCATTATTCTTTAGAGTCATTGCGTGCCTATTGATTTGAACACGATCCGTGTATCCATCATTTCCTGGTCTTCTCTAAAGAAGAGGGACCAATGGAAACGTTGTCATGTTGCCGTTGTTCAGCATGGAAACATTCATTAGCTAACAATGACATTATTGTTCTATTAATATAAAGGGAGGTCAGGTACTCTTTAAAGCAGCTGCTAGTTATGGGTACTTTTTACTGAAGTACATTTCAAAGCCTTTACTTTTACTTGAGTAAAGAAGTTTAGTCGGTACATCTACTTTTACCAGAGTATTTTTAAACACGAATATCTGTACTTCTACTTGAGTAAAGGATGTGTGTACTTTTGACATCTTGGACCCTTACCTTACCTCCTCTCCCCCCCCTTATCTCTGCTCAGATGGGACGGGAGGAGCCGGCCATGTCCATGGACTCCAGTGGGAAGGTGATGTGGGCGCGTCACTCCGAGGTGCAGCAGGCCAACCTGAAGACCATGGGGGAGGCGGAGGTGAAGGACGGGGAGAGGCTGTCTCTGGGCGTCAAGGACATGGGAAGCTGTGAGATCTTCCCCCAGACCATCCAGCACAGCCCCAACGGGAGGTGAGACCCCAGGAAGGGAATGTACATGACTCAAGTATTGTAGAAAATGTCCACAGTGTAAAAGAGATACAGATACATTTCTCAGTTGAGAACAGTTTCTGTCGACTTTATAACTATAAGAAAAACATATATGGTTATAATATAAACCTGTTTACTGTGATATTTTTTAAATGTATGTTGTACTTAAATATGAATGTGTTTTGTTGATTTGCAGATTTGTAGTGGTGTGTGGCGACGGAGAGTATATCATCTACACCGCCGTGGCTCTGAGGAACAAGAGCTTCGGCTCGGCTCAGGAGTTCGTCTGGGCCCACGACTCCTCACAGTGAGTTCTTAAAGGAAGAGTTTGTTTGGAAACACACCTAGTCGCCTTCTTGCTGAGAATAAGATGAGAAGATTGACATTGTTCTGGGATGTCTTCATATACAATGTTCGGCATACAAGTTTCCCCCTGCTTTGAGTATTGTCAAGTCTACTGTATGCTAAGCTAGGCTAATGGCTGGCTTTACAGTAGCTTGATATTAAGGCAGACATAAGTGTGGTATTGGTTTACTCATCTAAATACATTAAAAAAAAACGTCAACCTATCTCTTAAAGGTCCCATGTCGTGCTTTTCTGGTTATCACCCGTCCCCTTGTTTGTTATGAAGGTTGTTCTGCATGTAAACGGTCTGCAGTCACAAACCCTCAAAGTACACCCTGTAGGGAGTAAAACTCTAACACAGAAAAGACCTGTCTGTGCTGCCCCAGAACGCCTCGTTGGACATTTCTCTCTTTCCATTGTTTTCTTCTTATAGTGTAGTAAGTACAGTGACGTATTGGGTATAGTGACGTAACGTGGGACTTCCTCACACACACACACACTCAATCTTTTCTCAGCTGCAGCTCCGCGGATTTCTCAGCCTGAACTCAGCCTGAGACGGCGAGACGCGGCGGGGCTCGGCCTGCGCTCGTTCTGAGCACACACGCAGACTCACAGCCAGGCTGCAGGTGTGTGTGCTCGGGCTGTGTCTCGCAGATCCCCCGCAGCAAGCCAGCTCACACTGTCCGCTCCTCGAGACCCGCAACGTCCCGCCAACACGGCACCCAGACCCCACGCAGCATTCTCATCTGTTTGTCATTACTGGTGTCATTTCCTGGTTGCTAACAAACGCCATTGTAAAACATAATCACTGATGTTCCGCTGTAACGGTGGTGGACTCATCAGAACAGAGTGGGCGAGCTGACCAATCAGAGCACAGTGGGCTCACAGGGGGGGGGGCAGGAGCTCCAACAAGCCGTTTAGGACAGAGAGTGAATACACATACTATACAGAGGTGCTGTATGAGAAACCAATGTGAGTTTGGAACATTGAACAATATACATTTATTCTAGTAGACCTCAACAATGGAAATATGATCAGTAGAGATGACATGGGACCTTTAAGCTAGCTAAAACTAGGACTGCAAAACCTGTAAAAATATCGTTTTTTGCAAAAGAAATCAACTGGAATTACAATATGATTTACAATATTGTTGCATTGTTATTCTAATTATTGTTAAAATAAATATTATGATCATGGTGTGGTGTGTGTGTGTGTATATATATTGGTCAGAGGATCTGTAGCAAACTTCATTTAGAAATATTTACACATATTTAGTTCTTAACAAATATTGTGCTTCCTGCAATTTGAATATTGCACTAGACCCTTTTGTATTTTCATTCAAATGTAGATTAATTGTGCAGCCCTAGCTATAACTGTACAATATATGTAATAAGAGTCATTATCTTCACTCTCCAATGTGGTCCGGCACATTATAACTAAGTGTGTGCATTGTTTTCACAGGTATGCAGCGAGAGAGAGCGGCAGTATGATCAAAATCTTTAAGAACTTCAAAGAGAAGAAGACATTTAAACCTGACTTTGGGGCTGAAGGTGAGTTTCATTTCTTATTGTTGTCCTTTTATCCTTTAGACACAGCATGTAAATGTGTGTATCCTGCGTTCCTCAGGTGTCTTTGGAGGCTTCTTGCTGGGCGTGAGGTCAAACAGCGGCCTGGCCTTCTACGACTGGGATAACACTGAGCTGATCCGCCGCATCGAGATCCAGCCCAAACATGTGGGTCATACCGTCACTGCGATCACATCTCCACATTATCCATCCTTCTATTATATATGTATTATGTTATAATGTCTGTTTCCTCCTGTGTTTAGATCTTCTGGTCTGACTCTGGGGAGCTGGTGTGCATCGCGACAGACGAGTCTTTCTTTGTGCTGCGTTACCTTCCGGAGAGAGTGGCCGCGGCTCAGGAGAACAAGGAAGACGTAACCGAGGACGGGATAGAGGGCGCCTTCGAGGTACCACCTGTAGTTATTACTTTAAAAGAAAAAAGGTGTAGGGATGGGCCTGCAGAGCGTCAAGTCAACTTTATTGTTAATCTTTCAGTTTGTGTGTACAGGCAGAGAGATCGAAATAACGTTTCCCACAATCCCGAATACAAAAAATACAAATATGTATAAAATATGTATATCCTATAACAGACACATTTATACATATGCACACATTAAAGGGGACCTATCATGCAAAATGAACTTTTTGTGTCCCCGGTGTGTCGGGGAACTCACGCAGCGTCAGGAAATAAAACCCTCTCTCTTTTCCTCCGTACCCAAATCTCTAAAAACGGGGGAACAACGGAGCTGATCCAGATTTGCGTCCGATATGACGTAATATCTGAAATGTGGACCCACGGCCCAATCAGAAACGTTGCTATCAGAAACAATGCCCGACTGTTTTGGACGTAATATGGTCGGTGTTTACATTAGCATCGCTAACACTCGGAGCTAACCTGTACTGGAGAGCATGTGTGTGAAGAAGCAGGAAGTAAAAAGGAACTCACCTTGTGGTATAACCGGCAAGAGAGAAAGCCTTTGAGCTCCAGACTGTTTCAGATCCTTGATAATCCATGATATGGCGTTTCATCACGGCAGCATTTAGTTTAGACAGTAGCTGCCGGGTCCCTCATGAGCTCAGACCCCTCCTTTTTAAAGCTTTATTTCCCAAATCAGCACTTTTGAAACAGGAAGTGAAATAGAGGGATATGAGGCATGGCTAGAATGGCTGATCTGTTTGGTATTTTGAGCAAAACATTTCATAGACATGTTTTTAATGTATTTTTATATATATCTGAGAGACCTGTGCTATTGCCTAAAAATAGCATGATAGGTGACCGTTAAGATAAAAACACAACAATCAATATATACAACAGTAACTTAATCACATGACAACATTTACAGTAACAGAAAACTTCTTAAAACACTTGAAATTGTTCTGGAAGATGCAGATAGTTTAAAATGACCTATACATGTTTTGCTAAATCCGATTGCTTTTGAAAAATGAAAATAGGGAATAATCTACAGGCAGGATACACGGCAAACAGAGCGCTGACTAGAAAGTGAAGCTATGTGGATCCTTGACAATATATATCATTTTTTCTTGTAAATTTGTGGCTTAAATTTCAAAGAATATTCAAGTTTTGATCGTGCACATGAGTGACTTTAATCCTGGATATCTTCGTTAATTTATTCATTGAAAATTCAGGCAATTGATTAATCGTTACATCTGTTTCTTCCTGCTGCCCAGGTGCAGGGGGAGGTCTCTGAGGTGGTGAAGACGGGGGTCTGGGTGGGAGACTGCTTCATCTACACCAGCTCTCTGAACAGACTCAACTACTACGTTGGAGGAGAGATCATCACCATCGCTCACCTGGACAGGTACAAGGCGTATTTCCATGTTGTTAAAGAAACGATTTAAACGCTGAGAGGTCTGTCTGACTCGCTGTATCCAGACAAGAGAGCCCGAGTCAATAGTTGCATACTTTCAAATGATTGTAAAAGGTCAGAATAACATCCATACATGAAGCTCTCGTAGAATAATAACCAGTTGTGATTGAGATTGCGCGAGGTTTGCATTTCAACGTGTGGTCTACAGAAATACTACCATTCTCCGTAACAAACAAATAAAAATACGATTTAAAAACTGCAGGGGATTTTTATTTTTTAACCTTTATTCAACCAGATAAAAGCATTGAGATACAATCTTATTTACAAAGCTGACCTGACCAAGAAGGCAGCAACGTTACACATCCTTACACACGGACATATAACATACAGAGAACACAACTCGGTAAACAAAAGACGAAAAGCAGTCACTACAGTGTGCAGATTAGGACAGTAAGAAAGGTGCACTACTTATTACTGCAAGAGCAGCTGGTGGTAAGGACCTCAGACAACTTCAATGTATTTATAACCTAGTGTCGCACACACACACACACACACACACAATAACCTACAGTGAAAAGATGATAAACGCATTCCTCACCCCTACCATAGACAAGTTATTTAATTTACTTGTATATTTTTTACTTTTTAATGCTGTTTTATTTCTATTTTGAGATGTTTAAATGTTCAAATTGTTTATTCCTACTCTTTTAATTTCTACTTGTGTGCAATGCCTTGTTTCTGTTTATGCTGCTGCTACGCAAACATTTCCCAATTTGTGAATCAATAAAGTACATATTATCTTATCTTAGAATGTATATGGCCGCCACACATGTACAACAATTTTCTCATCCTGGTTTACCAATTTCAATGAACACTCTGCCATCCTCAGATTTACAGTTATGCATCCTGGTCAAATCTGTTTTTTCTCATACTCCATTAGCCTAATATCCAGTAAAGAAGAAATCAATCTCAAAACAGTGCCTTAAACACAGTTATTTGTCACGTGTAGGACCATGTACCTGCTGGGCTACATCCCCAAGGACGACCGCCTGTACCTCGGAGACAAAGAGCTGAACGTCATCAGCTACGCCCTGCTGCTGTCCGTGCTGGAGTACCAGACGGCCGTCATGAGGCGGGACTTCAGCACGGCCGACAAGGTGTTACCCACAATCCCCAAGGAGCAGAGGACCAGAGTAGCCAACTTCCTGGAGAAACAGGTATCCTACAAAGTCTATCCAGTTTAGTTTATTTGTTTATAGTGTCGTGGACAGTCCCCATGGATCAACTGTCACACAGGGGCAGATTTAGCCAACATTGCTAATTTCCAGCTGTTGTCCCCGGCCACATATGGCGCATTCCCACTACACGGCCCCGCTCTGCCTCGCTCGGTATGGCTAGGCCTCGTTAGGCCTTGTTAGGACTGGCTCACTTTATGGCGCATTGCCATTACAGTTTAGGAACTGGGGTAGTAACTATAGTAACGCAGTGTAGGCGGAGCCGTGACGTCATCTTCAATGAGAGCCCCAGAAAAACATCCGTAGTTGTGAGTGTGGACGGTCGGAGCATATATAACGTTAGCTTAGCCGATCTCCATTCAGAAAACACGCATTTTAAAAAGGGTGTTTCGCCTGCCGTCTGTCTGCAGACTTGTCAAAGCGTTAATTCATGGTTTTTACTAACCGGTATCAGTATGTTGTTACTTCGGCATCATTTTGAAACCTGTATTACAATTAAATCACGGTCAAATATGTTCATCTTGTTGTAGTTGTAGCCCCTTGCCAGCGATTCTCTCTCTAGTTTAGCATACTCAGCCCGACTCAGCCTGGTTGTTGGCCCGGAAAGAACCTCGATTTTATGGGGCCAGAACACTGTGGAATAGTTCCCGCTAGCCGGAACTACGCCTAGTGGAAACGCAACCATAAACGGGCCCCGCACGACTCTGCACGCTTAAAGCGAGCTCCGCACTGCAGTGGAAATGCGCCAATAGACTTTACTTGGGTGGGCCGCCCAGAAATATTAACGGCCGCCAAAGTATATTTATTTAAAATAAATGTATCCGTCCGCGAGCACGACGCCATCTGCGATCGATTAACTAGTGGACAATGATCCCTCGCTCTACGCCTCCTGTACCTGTTCGCTCTGCTATCGCGTGTCGGTCTGCTAACAAGCGACCAACACAAAGGTTCATGGTGTTAAAGCTCACACGTATTTCTTGTTTGTCACATGTTGTTGCACGTCACAAAGCCACCCCCTCGTGCCTGGCTACCACCACAAGTATATTTCAGATCTGTGGGAAACACTGAACAGCATTAGTTATAAAAAAAAAAGGATGAAAGACAAGTAGATACAGGCGAAACAACACACGTTACTACATACAGTACACATATAGCACATCACAATCACATAACAGAAACGAGGGGAAACATCCATGATCACATGTAACACACACGCCATATTCAACACAGACTGCCCCTCGCTTTTCTTTCAGCTCGAACTGCTGATGAACTCAGGATTCAGCCCTGAGATGAATAATTTACAGAGCATCAGGCGGCCAGATGTTGCAAAACCTCGGGGCAGAATTCTTATTCCCAGATTTCCCAAAACCTATCCAGTTTGTTTTTGAGGAAAAAACTTATCCTTTCAAGAGCGCTAGAGGTAGAGGTAGAAAGCGGTAGAGGTAGAAAGTCGTCCCGTTCAGCCATTGAGAAAGTCCACAGGTTGATGGTTCCTTCCATGTGCGAGCTATGCACCTCTTGTTCCTTTTTGAATCTCTTAATCATGGGAAGGGTTTGCAAATGAAATCCAATATTGATAACAGTTTGTTGTGTTTTTTTTCAGGGCTTCAAGCAGCAGGCCCTGGCCGTGTCCACTGACCCAGAACACAAGTTTGAACTGGCCCTGCAGCTGGGAGACCTGAAGATAGCCCAGCAACTGGCCTCCGAGGCAGAGGTCAGAACACACACAGAGACTCAAAATGATTACAGACACAGAAAAACAACCAACAAGGGACAAAAATGACAACCTACAGACTCAACATGACCACAACAAGGCATAAAATGAACTCAAATAGACACACACACACACACACACACACACACACACACACATGCATACATACATGAGTGACGAGGCCAAAGCTGTCCCGGAAATACTACATCCTAACTCTATACTGTAATATTTGCAGTTAGTTTTCAAGATGTAATACGTGAATTTATAGGGAATCAACTTTATTTTTTAAAAGCTACTGCCACCTAACTTGACAAAGATACATCAAAACGTTTTTCCTAAGGTTTAATACTAATTATTTGTAATACTAATTTAAAGATCTTTTGAAACGGGTTCACCAGCTCCCATCATTTATTTTATTCTGTCCGCAGCGTGGTATTTAGTATTCATTATTTCTGCATTCATAATACTTTTACTTACAAAAAATATAATATTGTTTTAAGACTTGGAATGAAAGTCTATAGCCGTGCTGGCAGCTCTGTGAGGCTGCATGCTAACGTCCTCACAGTGACAGTGCCAACAAGACGGTACAACTCATATCAGGGAACCATGAATGATTGTTTGAAATGTAATAAAATCTATTTAGAGATATTTTGGACTGAATTTGACTAACTTGTGGACATTGGAGAAGACTGCCATTTGCAATGACTTTCTATAATTAGTAGCTGTTTAATATGCAGGATTAAACCGGTCTCACAGACGGAGTAGTAACCCAGTAAGTGCTCCACAGTGTTGTTGTTGTTGGGGTTCATGCTCCCCCTGTGATAATCCTCTCTCCTGTCTCTTTGGCACCTCGGCATGTCGGGCTTCCAGTCGGAGCAGAAATGGAAGCAACTGGCGGAGCTCGCTACTACTAAGTGCCAGTTTGGCTTGGCGCAGGAGTGTCTGCACAACGCACAGGATTATGGGGGATTATTGCTGCTGGCCACCGCCTCGGGCAACTCCAACATGGTTGGAAAATTAGCCGAGGGAGCGGAAAGAGATGGGAAGACCAACGTGGCCTTCCTCACCTACTTCCTGCAGGGACGGTGAGTGAAGAAGAGGAACATGTTTGAATCAACTTTTCTATATTTTTCTAAATGTGTTTATTTTGTTACCGTTTTTTCTGTTTTTGCCCAGATTGGACAAATGTCTGGACCTTCTCATCGCAACAAATCGGTTGCCAGAGGCTGCTTTTCTGGCACGAACATATCTGCCCAGCCATGTGTCGAGGTACAGTTGTTTCCACTGAGTGCACAGCACATGTTGGAGTGTATTCTAGTGTGTGTACATACATCTCATATCAATATGTGACCTGCAGAACCTTTGCCTGTCATTTGTCCGAATCCAGATGTGGAGACGTTATGCAACGGCTGAAAGCTTTTGTGCATATTTTGAGATCTGCTTCTTCAAATCAGCCACATGAGCCTGAAACACCGACTTTCTCGTCCGTTATGCTACTAGTTTAAACATTAGTAGCATAACTATTCCTCGTGATCAAATCTTATCTGATCTATATCATCTGATTTTATCGCTCTCCCTTTACAAGCTTTTAAAAATGTATTTCGATTTGAGCCACAACTCGACCAAGTAAGTAATTTTGCTCTAGAAAGTGTTAGGCCATAAGGGTTCCATATTCTGAAAGACAAGAGATTGTTTCTTTAAAATCAACAGAAACCCAAATACGTTTTTTTGACATAAATCCATGTTTATATTAAAATAAGTCGTTCAAGTGGGCAACTTTCAGTAGCTATCCAGGGGGTCCGCGGGGTCTTAAAAAGTATTAAAAGTTGATAAATCAATTTAGTGAAAATTAAGGCTATTAAAAAATATTAAAGGGCATTTTCCAAGGTATTACATTTTGTAGCTTGTTTTCAATAAGTATATAAATGGTCCAAAGAGGTTGTATTCTACAGTCTGCCTGAATGTAATCATGGCGTAGGTGTGTAGTGTGATTCTGTGTAGTTTATTGATGGCATCCCGTTGGATGTGACGTCATCTGAACAGGACATCGCACGCTCACTGCTTGATAGCGCGAAGGTCCGTTTACGCCGGTTGCTAAACAACATCGTTATGGGGAAATGCAAGTCTGCGTCCAAATGGTTGGAAGATAAGGAGGAAGTACAATCAATACTGTATATAGTCAATGTGAGGTAAAGCGTGTCGCCAAGGTAACCGGTTAAAACTCAAAGTGGCGACGAGGTCTTAAAATGTATGGAAAGGGTCTTAAAAAGGTCTTTAAAGGAATTACATTTGACTTCAGGATTCCTGCATATACCCTGCCATAGTAGTTGTAATATTAATACTACAAAGTTTCTCCTTAAGCCACAGCTCACTGAGTAAATACTGTGCAGGAATTTGGCTCTTAAAAGTGATTTATCATCTGAATATGGCAATAAAAGAATATCCTAACATTAATCCATGCCTATCTTGAAATGAGTCGTTGCAACATCCGACTGACTGAGGTCACGTGTTGCCTCAGTGCTGAGCTGCATCTGCCTCTCCTCCTGCAGGGTGGTGAAGCTGTGGAAGGAGAGCCTCTCGAAGGTCAACCAGAAGGCAGCAGATGCTCTGGCTGACCCCTCCCAGTACAGCAACCTGTTCCCCGGCCTCCAGCAGGCGCTGCTGGCCCAGGAGTTTCTGAAGGACACTCATGTTGGGATCAGACCGGCTGCAGAGTACCCGCTCATTATGGTCAGTGGGAGTCAGAAGAACTATACTTTAAAACTGAATTTAGATCAATTAGTTATTTCATTCTAAATCAGAAACAGGTTTATCACCAGGTAGGTGACACGTACGAGGACTTTGACTTGGTGTCATGTTGCATACATACAAGTAAAACAAAAATGTAAAACACAGATAGAGAACTATTTAAAGAAAACTATAATAACAGTAAAAAATATAGCAGTATTTACATTGAAATAGAATGGAATCAAATGTAAAATATGTGCAGTAAAAAAACAAATGATGCTGTAAACTAGGGTAATGGCTGCATAAATGGTCCAGTTCTTTAGTCTGTTGTTGAGGTTTTGCTTATTGATCATCGTCATTGAATTATCTGAATGAACTGTTCATACTTTGGGCAACATGTTGGAGATGACATTTTGCCTGCCTCTGTATTTTTCAGCCAAATGAGAACCGTAATGTTCTGGAGGAATCTGCAGGGTTTGTGTCCAAAGGAGAGATCGATGAGCCAGAGGTGAGGAGAAGAACCTGCACCACACACATCTAATCACACATCTAATCACACATCTAATCTCACATCTAATCTCACATCTAATCTCACATCTAATCTCACATCTAATCACACATCTAATCTCACATCTAATCACACATCTAATCACACATCTAATCTCACATCTAATCTCACATCTAATCTCACATCTAATCTCACATCTAATCTCACATCTAATCACACATCTAATCACACATCTAATCACACATCTAATCACACATCTAATCTCACATCTAATCTCACATCTAATCTCACATCTAATCTCACATCTAATCTCACATCTAATCTCACATCTAATCTCACATCTAATCACACATCTAATCATACATCTAATCTCACATCTAATCACACATCTAATCACACATCTAATCACACATCTAATCACACATCTAATCACATCTAATCACATCTAATCACATCTCACATCTAATCACACATATAATCACACATCTAATCACACATCTAATCACACATCTAATCTCACATCTAATCACACATCTAATCACACATCTAATCTCACATCTAATCACACATCTAATCACACATCTAATCTCACATCTAATCGCACATCTAATCACATCTCACATCTAATCACACATCTAATCACACATCTAATCTCACATCTAATCACACATCTAATCTCACATCTAATCTCACATCTAATCTCACATCTAATCTCACATCTAATCTCACATCTAATCACACATCTAATCTCACATCTAATCACACATCTAATCTCACATCTAATCACACATCTAATCACACATCTAATCTCACATCTAATCTCACATCTAATCACATCTCACATCTAATCACACATCTAATCACACATCTAATCTCACATCTAATCACACATCTAATCACACATCTAATCTCACATCTAATCACACATCTAATCTCACATCTAATCTCACATCTAATCTCACATCTAATCTCACATCTAATCTCACATCTAATCACACATCTAATCTCACATCTAATCACACATCTAATCACACATCTAATCTCACATCTAATCACACATCTAATCACACATCTAATCTCACATCTAATCACACATCTAATCTCACATCTAATCTCACATCTAATCACACATCTAATCACACATCTAATCACACATCTAATCGCACATCTAATCTCACATCTAATCACACATCTAATCTCACATCTAATCACACATCTAATCTCACATCTAATCACACATCTAATCACACATCTAATCTCACATCTAATCTCACATCTAATCACACATCTAATCACACATCTCACATCTAATCTCACATCTAATCCCACATCTAATCACACATCTAATCTCACATCTAATCACACATCTAATCTCACATCTAATCTCACATCCAATCACACATCTAATCACACATCTAATCACACATCTAATCTCACATCTAATCTCACATCTAATCTCACATCTAATCACACATCTAATCTCACATCTAATCACACATCTAATCTCACATCTAATCACACATCTAATCTCACATCTAATCTCACATCTAATCTCACATCTAATCACACATCTAATCTCACATCTAATCACACATCTAATCTCACATCTAATCTCACATCTAATCTCACATCTAATCACACATCTAATCTCACATCTAATCACACATCTAATCACACATCTAATCACACATCTAATCACACATCTAATCTCACATCTAATCTCACATCTAATCTCACATCTAATCACACATCTAATCACACATCTAATCACACATCTAATCTCACATCTAATCACACATCTAATCTCACATCTAATCACACATCCAATCTCACATCCAATCTCACATCCAATCACACATCTAATCACACATCTAATCTCACATCCAATCTCACATCCAATCTCACATCCAATCACACATCTAATCACACATCTAATCACACATCCAATCTCACATCCAATCTCACATCCAATCACACATCTAATCTCACATCTAATCTCACATCCAATCACACATCCAATCACACATCTAATCTCACATCTAATCACACATCTAATCACACATCTAATCACACATCTAATCTCACATCTAATCTCACATCTAATCTCACATCTAATCACACATCTAATCTCACATCTAATCACACATCTAATCACACATCTAATCTCACATCTAATCTCACATCTAATCTCACATCTAATCACACATCTAATCTCACATCTAATCACACATCTAATCACACATCTAATCACACATCTAATCACACATCTAATCTCACATCTAATCACACATCTAATCTCACATCTAATCACACATCTAATCACACATCTAATCTCACATCTAATCTCACATCTAATCACACATCTAATCACACATCTAATCACACATCTAATCACACATCTAATCACACATCTAATCACACATCTAATCTCACATCTAATCTCACATCTAATCCCACATCTAATCACACATCTAATCACACATCTAATCTCACATCTAATCACACATCTAATCACACATCTAATCTCACATCTAATCTCACATCTAATCACACATCTAATCTCACATCTAATCACACATCTAATCTCACATCTAATCACACATCTAATCTCACATCTAATCACACATCTAATCTCACATCTAATCACACATCTAATCTCACATCTAATCTCACATCTAATCTCACATCTAATCACACATCTAATCACACATCTAATCTCACATCTAATCACACATCTAATCTCACATCTAATCACACATCTAATCACACATCTAATCACACATCTAATCACACATCTAATCACACATCTAATCTCACATCTAATCTCACATCTAATCACACATCTAATCACACATCTAATCACACATCTAATCACACATCTAATCACACATCTAATCTCACATCTAATCACACATCTAATCTCACATCTAATCACACATCTAATCACACATCTAATCTCACATCTAATCTCACATCTAATCACACATCTAATACTCCTGTTACCTTACAGGTTATGTCACCTGGTTAAACATTTAAAAAAGTTGTTATAGAACATTTTTACATTCATGTATGTGTACCTTTTGTGCACAGGGAGGGGTGGAAAGCATGAATGAACCCATGATGGTAGCAGCGGTGACGGCAGCTGTTCTAGCAGAACCCGCAGCAATGGAGGAACTTCTTCCAGTAAAACAGGAGATTATTGAACCTGTCCGAGCAACAGACGAAGAATCCATCCCAACATCAGCATCCCCTCTTCCTGTCACACTACCAGAAGAGCATGTCGAGCCAAAACAAGCAGAGTCTGTGTCCTTTGACGAGGACATCATCTCTAACCCAGAGGAAGACATTTTGGACTTCACCACAGAGACCCCCCCCACAGAGCCACAGATGGTACAGCCCAGTCCTGTGGAATATGCCACGACCGTGCATGTATCTGAGACTCATCGAATCGAGACAACATCAGAAACCATCGTGGCAACAGAAGAAATTGAGACGGTGGCAACGGAAACCATAGCAACAGAGGATGTCCTAGTTAGCACTGGGCTGATAGTCGATACTGAAGTAATAGAAACTGGTATTGAAGAACTGGACACACCTTTAATCTCCATAGAAGCATCAAGCATCTTAGATACGGCAGCAGAGGAAACTCCTGTTACAGAGGAACTTGTTTCAGAAACAGCCACATCAGCCGTAGCGGTGGAGGAGCTCATCTCCTTTGAAAGCACCACCAGTCCAGAGTTGGATGTGCCTGTCCAGGTCCAAACGTTTCCAGATTCGGCCCTTGATCCTCTGCTGGAGCCACTTGAAGATACAATGCCGACACTAAAGCCACTCCCCGCACAAGAACCAGAACAAGGTGAAGAAGTGACAGTGGAGCTGGAGCCTGCTGCGCCTCCACAGGCTGATCCAGAGCTTTTACCCCCAGTAGCAGCTGCTGTAGAGGGGAAAGCAGCAGAGGAGAAGGAGTACGGAGCTGAAGGAGCTGAGGAACCACCAGAGGACCTCGAGGACGAGATGATTGATGAGGTCAATATCTGTTTTAAACCTATTGCAAAAAATATGCTAGTATTTGCACTTATTATGGAATAAAACAATACAAATAAACAAGTTATTTTAGGGGTGTAACGGTTCTGAAACTGAGACACAAACGTCCACGGTCAAATAGTGCAGTTATGTCTTCTATCACTGTATATATCTTGACGACATTCGATCGTAGACGATACCAGATTAAAGCAAATGGTTAAGGTGCTTAAGCCCCACTCAAATGTGGCGTTCACTTGTGCATTTGACTTCTTACGGTTGTGTTGCCAGTACTTGAGTAATTTAACTTATCTCAATAAGCATTATGACTGTTAAATGCTTACCCCTAGTTTCCACCGGGTCCGTCTGCGTCGCGTAACGGCTGCGCTGCGGTTTTGGTCCGGCCTCCTCCGGCGTCATACCCTACCGGGCGCGTTTCAGAAGCATTTCAGAAGCGGAGTGTCTTGCCTGCCGGCTCGCAGTTTCAGTTGATTTGAGCATATTTCCTGGACAGACTACTTCGTACAGACAAAGTTAATAATAATTGTAATATCCCAGTTATAAACGACATGAATCAAAGATGTGTTGCTGTATTTTAGTGGTAAAATCATCATAATTATTCTATATATATCATTTACACAGTGCCTGTAAACCGGAGGAGAACGCTGGCATTTCTCCTCCAACTTGAACGACTACGGAGGGATAGGGTCTGCAAAATGAGTTTGTGTGTGTGTGTGTATATATATATATATATGCTATATATGCTCTGAACGTTCCACTTCCTGCCCGACATTACCTTACGGCTGCGTCGCGTCGAAAAATAGACTTCAATCCTATTTCGAGCGGAGCCCAGCGGCGAGACGCTTCTGGGCCGTAACTAGGGGTTATACTTTTCAAATGTAATGAAAACGTACCAAACCATGACCCGCAAAAAAGAAATACATACCAAACCGTTAAATGTGCGTAGCATTACACCCCTAACGTTCATGTATCTATTGAGTTCTTGTGTCCTTTGATGCAATGATTTTCTACTTTACTATTTCTCCCTGTAGGGTCTGGATGATCTGGATCTGGATAATTTTGACCTGGAAGACATCGACACCTCGGACATCAACCTGGACGAGGATTTGAGTGATTAGGAAAGAGGAATGGTCCAAACTTTATTTGAATTCCTTCTCTCAGTGACCAAAGAACTCAAAGGGTTAAACGAGACCATAACAAGTGAGCGGCAGACTAACATGCCTTTAACATTAAATAACAAGCATTGTGAACTGATATAGTATAAGATGTTCTGCTTTCGGTACAATTGTGGAACTCTAGGACTACATACAAGTATAACATCTCCAAGAAGGCTGGTTTAACCTCAAATTAGGTGTGAGACCAAACCTAAGGAGTGTGCTAATCATGAAAAATGTGTAAGGGACTCAAGTGTGTTGAATGGGAATTAGGGATAAGGAATAGAAAGGTGTTTGTTTAGAAATAAGGGATGCATTGTCGCCGGTTAAAAATATCCAGCGAAGTCTTTTTTACACATGTTTCTATTTAAACAATACTGCAATAATCATGACAGCGTCTCAAAACACATATTTACGTATCATTGGTTTTTGAAATTTGCACCAGCATTAAAAGTAATAAATGTTACACTCTGTACTTCTTCTGCATACCTCAGGACACTTCTGTGGATCAGGGTGTTATCCAAGCCATCGAGGAAGTTTAAATACTGCTTTCATTCTTGAAGTAAAACTAAGTTTGGGTATTCAGAGCGTTATTTTTAGATGTGTGTAATTTTGTAAATGGTTAACAAATATGCAATTTTGACAAATCCCCCATTTGGTCATATGTGTTTATTACCTCTTGGTTCATGTTTACTTCTCACACCTTGTATCCACACGTACCGCTGCTGCTGAGATCTACAGTATGTCTGTTATAAGTGCCTTACATGTGTACTTTTTTTAGAGGGTATTCTCACCTTTTCTGTTTTTTTAAAAGATGGATGGTACTGTGTATGTATAGTTGAAATTTGAATAAATAAGCTTCAATCAATAAAGTCTATGTCATCATTTAAGTAACCCTATGCCCGATGACCCTACACTCTTCCACAAGTTAAGTTAAAGCCTTTTATTGTCATTTATACACAGAGTATAACGAGATTCAGAGTGGGTCAAAAAGGACCCCTATTAGAATGTGTTTTTATGCCATTTGTCATTTTGGTTAAAATCACTTGTATTATATTTTGGTTCACACTAGAAATATTTTATATATATATATATTTTTTTAAATGTACATTTTGAAAAGAAACCTTTTCAACATATCGATGCAAAGATCTCCGCTATTCTGAGACCCTCACAGTATTCCAGTCTCTTTTCAAAACTCATCTCTTCTCTACTCATAGCCCCCCCCCCCCCCATCAATCCATGCCGGTTGATCAAGTTTGATAGTCCTATACCCCCCCCCCCCCCCCCTAACCTTCCCTTATATTGCAAAGCGATTTTGAGTCCTTGAAAAGCCCTATACAAATATAATGTATTATTATTACACTGCCAGGTATCAGATCTTGCTGTGTAAAATAGTCTTCCTGAGAGGTGTCACTTGTGATGTCGTCTGTGTGTCCTACAGTGAATGTATTCCTGACAGCAACAGGTGATAATAATCAGAGGTTCCCAGAGGAAATGCATGCGGGTCATTGTTGACCCACTGATGGAAGCTTGGGGTAGAAATACAAAAACTACAATTTCTTAACATTCGAACGTCATGATATCCAAAACATGTTTTTTGAGGAATAGCTGGAATATGAAATGATAAAATGTAATTACAAAGATACTTCAAGAAAACCACCTCACCGGGTCAAAAGAGACCCACTTATGCGTCTAAGGGTTAAGGGGAAATATTATGCTTGTTGGTAACACTCAAGCTTCTATTGGCTAGTGCTACAACACATCTCTAAGCGGTTGACCAATCACAACAGAGCCAGCCAGCTAACCAATCAGAGCAGACTGGGCTCTGGTTTCAGACAGAGGGTGAAAAGAGGTGCTGCAGCACAGGCAGTATGAGAAGAATAAAGAGCTTTGTGAACATTAAAGCAAGGAGACATGTCACAGGAGAGACCCTGATATGAACCTGAGAATAATAGAACCACTTAGTACAAAGATCTTTTATTTACATCATTTTGACTTCACTCACAGAAACATTTTTCTTTCCATGTATAAATGACTAACTGCATCTTCATCAGTTTTAAAGCTAATTCTTTAAGTCAAGGATCACATACTCCACTTCGACCCCAACACTGAAAGCTGTGTTTGACATACGAGATGCAATTTTCAGTGTATCCCTCTGGTCATGGTACCATTCGTCATGAGGATGAATTTGTATATTTCCATCTAGTGGTCCAGTCAGGCGCTGGCGCTCTTGGCAGCCATCTGTTCATGAGCCTGCAGGGCCAGCTCGATGTAGCCCGACCTCTGAGACTCCTTCTGGGCATAAATCTGCAAGCACAAGGGTCAGAGGTCAGCGAGAGAGGAGAGAAAGGTCAGGCCAATTACTTTGAGCTTGTGCCTTAAGTGTAACAGTAAGAAGTATAGCCGACGAGTCTGTTCATTAAAAGATAAAGAGAGTTTTGCAGCAATTCCTCTTTGAATAAACGACTAACTTTGTGCATGATACAATAAAGCAGCGGCTCCCCCCCCCCCTAGTGGGCCGCCAAAGAATTTGTGTGGAAACATTTTCATTATTAAGATTAATTTTAACCTAATTTCCTTTCTCTTTCTCGATCCTCCTTAGCAAGGGTCATTACAGTCCTTGACAGCGGTCTGTTCTACTGGATTACCAACGTGTCACATGTTCTGAATCGACCAATCAGAACTTTATTTAGCTTCCATATCGTTTATGGTTGAATGAGGGCCGCACATTTCTTTAGATTCTTAAGTGGGCTCTGAGTTGAAAAAGGTCGGGAACTGCTGCAATAAAGTTTAAAGCTATTCTTGAGTGTTAACCCCCCCCCCTTTAAAATCACATTGATAATGAATTTAGTGGCAGACTAAAACGAACGGTCAAGCGTGACTAAAGGAGAGGCGGTGCCGTGACAGCGACTGGAGCGGACGTGTCTCCTGCTGCTAACCCTTCACATTAAATGGCTGTCATTCCCAATGTCCCCCCCCACCCCCTCCCCTCTGCTTCAAGGCAGAGGGGCCGTGAGCGCTAATAAGAGCTGATGTGTCCGGGGGTTGGCCCCGCAGTTCCCACGCCGGAGACAAACCCAAACCCTCTCACGGAGGAAACTTAAGATGAGACGGCCTTCACTCGACCTCTCGGAGCTACACTGACTCCTGATTTACTCGGATGATCCTGAGGGACACGACTTACACGACCCGGGTCATTTCTGGATCAAATGGCAACACATAACCTGCACATATTAAAGTGAACACTCAAATCCAGCACCAGACACTTTGACGCTGCTATGGACAGTCTTACACTAACGTACATTCTCAAAGATAGTGACTACATCAACACAGGCTCACTATTTGGCAAGAGGACTAAGCCTTATATTGGCTACTTAGCGAGAATCCACTCAGTGAGCAACAGATACCAAGGATGCTGGCTGATGAAGGAGACGAAGTAAGCTAGGTAGCCAATATAAGGCTTAGTCATCTTGCCAAATAGTGAGCCCACATTTATCTGTACTGCTAAGCCTTATATGGGCTACCTAGCTTACTTTGTCTCCTTCATCAGCCAGCATCCTTGGTATCCGTTGTTCACTGAGTTGATTCCACCCCCCCCCCTTCCATCTTGATGTTTCTTGGCATCTCTTATGACCATTTATTTACGAGTTACTAACATTTAAAGTTGCCAAAAGGGAGCCGTGTTGTAAAGTGTTAAACACATTAATAAGTTACTACCATTTCTAATAAGGCTTAGCAGAACAGATAAATAGGCTCTCTATTTAGGCAAGCAACCGGTCACAGTCGCCCTGTTTATCTCATGTCTTGTAAAAGCTTATTAATGATTTATAAAGTGTTCACAACCTAATTAATTAATTAATTACAAACTATTCGTAAACCCTTTATAAGGGTAGTCTTATTGTAAAGTGGTACCCATATGTTTACATATATATTTGTTTGTATTCGGGATTGTGGGAAACAGTATTTCGATCTCTCTGTCTGTACACACAAACTGAAAGATTGACAATAAAGTTGCCTTTGACTAAACACCAGGCTCAGTTGTTCTCACCTTCAGCAGCTCGGCGCCGGCGGCCTGCTGGCTGGAAGCTTCCTGCGCTGACTCGCTGTGAGGGTGGACCATGTGGAACAGAGACACCAGGTTCACTGCATCCTGGAGCCTGGAAACACACACACAACACACACACACACACACACACACAACACACACACACACACACACACACACAACACACACCCACACACACACACACACACACACACACACACACACACACACACACACACACACACACCACACACACACACACACACACACACACACACACCACACACACACACACACACACACACACACACACACACACACATCACACACACACACACACCACACACAACACACACACACACACACACACACACATCACACACACACACACACACACACACACACACACACACACACACACACACACACACACACACACACACACACACAAACACACACACACACACACCACACACACACACACACACACACACACACACACACACACACACACACACACACACACACACACACACACCTTAGCTACAGATCTTTGCCAGCGTACAGAAGCTGGCGTGACGACGGTTAACCGCTTTCATCTCCTTCAGTCTTGCTGGAGAGTTGTGCAGGAATGAGTCATGTTGCCACTTCTGGTTCCCTTGGGCAAGTTAGCCCTTGGGATGCTAACTTCTGAAGTTGGCCTTGACCCCCTTTTTTCAGAGTAAACATTTTATTAATGGATTTAAACCATGAGTAAATATAATGTAGCAAAATCTTTTTTGAACCACATTATATTTACCAAATAACCCGCATTATTGGGCAAACTTCTCAAAAACAACACATGTATCCCCATTCTTTTATTTTCCATTTAGTAGAATCATGTTGTGAAATAATTTGTAATACTTTGATATAAAACCACAAAAACATTTGAGGTGATATCACCCTTTTTTAGTTACCTAGTACCAACATATTCCAGCAGGAGCATTATTTGCAGAAACTCTGATATCTGTAATTAATACATTAATAATCTGTGCATTGATTCCAACTCACTGCTCTCTCTTCAGCATGTGCACGATGAGCCCGTCCACCCGGCGAGCGTTCAGCAGGAACCAGGTCAGGCCCCCGAAGTGCCGGGTGGAGCGCAGCAGATCGTATTTGCCGTGCTTATCCAGGTCCTCATAGGTGGCAGAGTGGACCTACACAAGAGGAATATATCAAATCAAACATCTTATTTATAAGGCCCTATAGGCGCTTTCACACTGAGTACTTTTCCTGTTTAGTTCCGATAGTTCCTGGGATGTTGCTTTCACACCAAAAAGAGAACTTAGTTCAGAGAACTTTCCCCCCCTTTTCAGTGCCTGCTAGAGAGGCGGGACTTTCCTGGGGAGAACAAAGTTCCAACTTCTGATTGGCCATTGTATTTGCTGACATTAGCATTATTAGCATTATTAGCATTAGCCACTTCGGGTGGCAGTATACGCCGTGAAGTTGTTTGCGGCCTGCCAGTAAACCCAAAGCAGAAGAACAAGAAGTGACGTCAGCGGCTTCATTTGACTAATCTTCCCTCAGGGAACTTATTCCGGTGTGAACGCGATCTGCTCTTTAGTTTCATAGGGGAACTAAGTGCTGGGTACTAAGTGCTGGGAACTAAGTGCTGGGAACTAAGTGCTGGGAACTAAGTGCTGGGAACTAAGTGCTGGGAACTAAGTGCTGGGAACTAAGTGCTGGGAACTAAGTGCTGGGAACTAAGTGCTGGGAACTAAGAGCTGGGAACTAAGTGCTGGGTACTAAGTGCTGGGTACTAAGTGCTGGGAACTAAGTGCTGGGTACTAAGAGCTGGGAACTAAGTGCTGGGTACTAAGTGCTGGGTACTAAGTGCTGGGAACTAAGTGCTGGGAACTAAGTGCTGGGAACTAAGTGCTGGGAACTAAGTGCTGGGTACTAAGTGCTGGGAACTAAGTGCTGGGTACTAAGTGCTGGGTACTAAGTGCTGGGTACTAAGTGCTGGGTACTAAGTGCTGGGTACTAAGTGCTGGGTACTAAGTGCTGGGAACTAAGTGCTGGGTACTAAGTGCTGGGAACTAAGTGCTGGGAACTAAGTGCTGGGAACTAAGTGCTGGGTACTAAGTGCTGGGTACTAAGTGCTGGGTACTAAGTGCTGGGTACTAAGTGCTGGGTACTAAGTGCTGGGAACTAAGTGCTGGGAACTAAGTGCTGGGAACTAAGTGCTGGGAACTAAGTGCTGGGAACTAAGTGCTGGGTACTAAGTGCTGGGTACTAAGTGCTGGGTACTAAGTGCTGGGTACTAAGTGCTGGGTACTAAGTGCTGGGAACTAAGTGCTGGGAACTAAGTGCTGGGAACTAAGTGCTGGGAACTAAGTGCTGGGAACTAAGTACTTGGTGTGAAAGCGGCTAATGTCACAAACTACGCTTAAGTCTCAGGGGGCTCTACAGTGTGTTCAGCTAACGGCACCTTCTGTCCTGGGACTCTTGCAGGAAGGACAAACTCCCAAAGAAACCCACAATGAAAAGAATACACACTTCAGAACTGCCTCATTCAAAAGAAGCACAATTCAAATGTTATTGTATAAAGCAAAGAAATCTGCCAATTTTGCTTGGCTAGTTTTCTTAAAATGAGCTTACATTTGAATATGGACGAATGCAATATCTAAATTCAAGTAAGTGTAATTTTTGTTAACATGCACAATATGTGTCAAAATGCCAACAAATTCCATTTTAGATTTTTAGTCAACATTTGATTTGGTGTCAGACAAATCCCTCAAAGATCATTCCTTCAAATATAATGAATACAATTGCAATATCAGTCAAAAATATATTTGATCCAAGTTGGTCAGCCCTACTTATTTCCCTGTGTGTTGTAGATAACACAATGGCTTTCCACATCCAATTTAAAACTACAAATACCTTCTTGTTCCAGTTTACACTCTGTATCAAGTCCCCCAAAGAAAACACAGGGCTGACTGTGCACATGTCATGGTCTAACAGGGTCCTCTCACCCTGATGAAGTCTGAGGAGTCGGGCTCAAATTGGACGAGACACAAGTCCAGCACGTCCTCGTGGCGGTCCTGAGAGAACACCATCTGATGGAGGGAGGGAGGGAGAGGGAGAGAGAGAGAGAGAGAGAGAGAGACAGAGAGAGAGAGAGAGAGAGAGAGAGAGAGAGAGAGAGAGAGAGAGAGAGAGAGACGAACGGGTCAGAGAACGGGGAAATGAAAGCCTCTCACTCACAGGTCACTTAGATTAGGACTTATTTTAGGACCATAATGCTCACAGTCCTCACCTGGCACCAGGAGAGACAGCTTACGTCTTAATCATTGAGCGTGCACATTCGTGTCAGAGTAAGTATGAGGTTTTTGGGGAGTTTCACAAACCTGTATTAGTTCTTATCAAAGTGAGGAGAAAGCTATATAATCTAGTTGTACTACTTAGAAACTTGGTGGTGTTTGTGAATAGAACTTTTTAAAAATTGTAATCAATGAACACTGGATACCTGTAATAAAAAAGTAGACATTTTTCACAGTAGGCCTTTTGACATGTCACTGCTAAGTAAAGCATGTGTTTCAGTAAAGCAGGTGTTGCTACTAACTACCAATGACCAGGACTGTATTAATGTTATTAGAACAAACTGTGCTTTTCCCTCTTTGAAACATGCACTGACAACAACAACAAAAGACGGAAATTTAAATATGTAATAGCGACAAAAAATGTTAGTTAAAGGTAGGGTAGGTAAGAATGGAGAAACCAGCTCGAGTGCGCTAGAATTTGAAAGTACACAGCCGAAAATACTTCCTTACAGAGCCCCTCCTCCAACACACACGAACGCGCACATGACCAATGAGGGCACGAGATCAGTTTGTGCCCAGATGGAAGACTGACAGGCAGGTAGGCCATCCAGTTACTTTAGCCGGGCCGAGGCAGATGATTGGTCGTGCTTTTTACAGCGCCACGGCTTCCACGGATTAAATTTATTTAATGTGAATTAATGTCAATTGTCAAAGCATTTAATGTATTCATTGCTATCGGGATGTTAAGAGCATTCCATGGAATATAACAAGTGTTTCTGAAGTGAATTACCTACCCCACCTTTAATGAAGTATTAAATATAAAAAAATAACCCAGTGGTATAAAGACTGTATGCAATGAGTATATCATTGCTACAAAGCATTTGGAGTTTGCTGGCATCACACATTTCCAGCCCAACTCAGATTCTCCGTCGACTGTTACTTTAATCCTAGTCTTTATGTCGGCACAGGAAAGACATGGACTGGAGGAGGCTGGCAGTGTTAAGAATCGCCTCTGAAGTAAATAACACTTTGCTATCCTCACCTTGAGGTTCTCCTCCTTGAAGAGGAGGGGCGCTGTGAGTTTGCGCCCCTCCTTGGGGAAGTAGACCTGAATGAGCCGGTCTCTCTCCTCCCATGAGGCCTTCCTAAGGACCCCGTTGGGCTCCCGTACAACAACAAACCTCTCCTGGGGACACACACAATGACCGTCCATTCACATTAGGATTTCATCACATTTTAATTGTTTTATATTAAAAAAGGTGAGAAAAGAGCAATTCAATTGTGCATGAAAGAAAAAACCCACTTGTGACCCGTTGGGATCAAAGCTAAGAAAGCAGCAGGGCTGATTTGAAATGATATCAAAATTGATATTCCAGGTGGGGGGGGCTGGTCTTAGGGGTTTTCTGTTTCTGTCTTATCATGTCATCGTGTATTTTGGTTTCCTTTTTGTCATTGCTATTACTATAATAGTATTTTAAAGTTATTATCATTTTTTATATAGCACCTGCATTTATGTGAAACATTGATATCCCAATTAACAAAAGGTTCATTTTTACTTTCCCTCAACTGGTTTGTTAATTGCATCTCAATCAACACATTTCTTTGAAGTTATTTGCGCACATACACAGCTTTTTAAACAGGTGCTACATGTTCACTCTGAACTGTCAGTTCACTCTGTGGAACTGTGGCTACAGGAAATCCCTAATCTAATCTCCAGTCACACACAAATATATATTTAAAAATTGCACAGCTTCTCCAATTTAAATTCTAATATACTGCACATATTGTAATTTCATCAGGCACTTTGAGTCAAAATGCTTTATTATTTCAATTTTATGACATTTTACTTTAATTTCTTATGTTTATAAATCTTATTTGATCTATAATTGGACATTATGGACTTGTGTTAATATAATTTTTTTATTTCTATTTTATTCATTCTAAAATGAAACTGTATAAAAACATTTCTCCCTGGGATTATAAGATATTTCTGATTATTTGTCACATTTTTGTAGCAACCTATTCGTATAGCTATATTACTTGTAAACATTTGTATATAATGCTATTAAAATACAATCATATTTATTCTGTATTTGCTCCTTTTTCACAACCAGTTATCTCACTGTGTTTATGAATACTCCATCATGCACCAAAGCAAACAACCTTCTCGGGATAAACCTGACTCTGATGGTGGTCACCTACCCTGTGAGGGATGTTGAAAGTGATGTCTGTGAAGACGTATTTGGCGGTGTCCATGCCCTCCAGGATCTGGTCCTCAGACAGCACGTCGTGGATGGGCTTCCTCTCCGGCAGGACGGGGGGCATCTGCAGCATCTTCTTCGCCTGCTCTTCGGCCACCTCCACTGCCTGGAAACACAAACGTTTCAGTATTTGTAAACAACTGTGACTGAAAGAATATTGCACCATGTGCTATAGAAAAATAAAAGCCAGTATAAGTGTACATGTTTTGTTTTAAAATAACTGCCATGTGTGGAATGAACAAATACATAAGCACATGTGTTACTGTCACTTGTGCCTGAGAGAGATTGACAGAGGACATTATGGTTTATTTAAAAGGCACCTCCTCCAGTTGCTCGTCAGTCATGAGTTTATATGTTGGCGGCTTCAGCTCCTGTTTGATGGGCCGGAAGACTTTCTCCAGGTCCAGGCCTGTTATCCTGGTCAGGAGGTCCTGCACGGCTGCATCTGTGAACTGGGGCTTTGTGATGTCTGAGAGGGCTGTGGAGAAAGTTACACAAATCAAGCACTTAATGCAACATATAGATTTACAGCAGGGGTGTCAAACTCAAATACACAGTGGGCCAACATTAAAAATGGGTACTAGTCGAGGGCCGGACTGGTTCAATGTTTATTGCAAAACATATTGAAATGAACTTAATGCACATATTAAACCTGGAACTTTTCCAGAGTCATTTCTTAGGAGTACATTTTCCACAGGCCAACAACAGCTTCAACAAAACTATTTCCCCTCAAAGAGAAAACCAAACATGCCCTGTTGTCGTGAGAGAAAGTGCAGAAGGAAGCATCCATTAAACTCAGTGTGCTGCTCTGTGAAGCTAGTTCAGATACTTGGCATCTCATCTTGGGTGCAAGGTCATCAATGTTTGGGCTCAGGCTCTGAGCGGAGGAGACCCTCAGGATGGAGTGAAGGTGTGCGTGCAATATACCGGCGGGCCAGATCTAATAGGAATTAGAAATTATCCTGCGGGCCGAAATTCAATCCACCAAGGGCCTGATTTGGCCCCCGGGCCTTGAGTTTGACACGTGGTTTACAGAGTTTGCTGGACACCCTGTCCACACTGTTCAGCTCCTTCAGCAATAGACTTCCTCAAACTCAACAGCAGTAAAACTGAACTCCTCCTCATCGGATCAAAATCCACCCTCAGCAAAACCCCCAACCTGACAATCACCATTGATGGCACCCCTGTTTCCCCCTCCCCCAGGCACGCAACCTTGGCGTGATATTTGACCCCACCCTCTCCCTCGAGCCCCACATCCGTCATGTTGTCAAAATCTCATTTTTCCACCTCCGCAATATTGCCAAACTCCCTCTCTCACCCGCCCTGCAGCTGAGCGACTCATTCACGCCTTCATCTCCTCCCGCCTTGACTACTGCAACTCCCTCTTCTACGGCATCAGCTCCACCTCCCTCAGTAGACTCCAGCGTGTCCAGAACGCAGCCGCCAGACTCCTCACCCACACCAAATCATGGCATCACATCACCCCGGTCCTCAAAGAACTCCACTGGCTCCCCGTTACACACCGCATCAATTACAAACTCCTGGTCCTCACTTATAAAGCCCTCCACCATCTGGCCCCCCCCTACCTCACTGACCTCCTCACCCTCTACCAACCACCCCGGTCCCTGAGATCCACCTCAGCCGGTTTGCTTTCAATCCCCAAGGCCAAACTCCGGAGCTTCGGGGACAGAGCCTTCTCTGTGGCAGCCCCGAAGCTCTGGAACTCCCTGCCCCAAGACCTCCGTGAGTCTGAGTCCCTCACCCTGTTCCAGTCCCGCCTCAAAACCCACCTCTTCAACTCTTTATCTATAAGCCCCCCCCCCTCTTAATCAACTTCCTCCTGACTGCTTTTCTGTTGTGTTTTGTTTCTTTTTGGCTTTGTCTCTGTTTCTTGTTTTGTTTGTATACCCCCCCTCCCAAATGTAAAGCGTCTTTGGGTCCAGAAAAGCACTATATCAAATTAATATATTATTATTATTAGGCCTCTTCCATATGGACAAAAGATGGTTAATCAGAAGATTTTCATTTTCATTTCAATACAATTTGCAACAACAATTGTGATGTAAAGTCAACTTTCATGGTTCATTTCTCCACAGTTTCTGCCGCCCATACTGGACAAAGACTACAAGACTGTGGGACCGTTTTATCACAGGCAGGAAGAACAGCTGAGCTCTGTGCAGTGCCTTCATTACAACATAGCATTGATCTGTTTGCATCCCACACATTTATTTAATTCTACAATAAGCAGTATTTATTTTTACATTCTGTTCATCTTATTCTATTGACATGTGTATACTGTAGACTCCTGCATTTACTCCATTATTCTCTGCAACATGTAGCCTATTGTTTTTATGTGACATGTATAGTTTACCTCTTCTGCATTATTCTCTTGCACTATTTCATTTCTACTCTGTTTTTTCTTGCACTATTTTAATGGGTTTTTTTCAACCTATTTTTAATGTCATATATATTTGTGTTGCATTGTTGGAGGAGCCTGGGACTTAAAATGTTCATTGCCATGTCTACACTGTACCAACTGTGCATATGACGATAAGGCCTTTGAAATAATTAAATCATCCTTCGTTGAAATGAACGGTTGTTAACGGTTGTAATGTCATGGTAACGCAATGGACAGCTAGCACATGAACCATTCATATCAGACTTTACTGCAAAGCTATTAACACTACATCAACTAAAGTATTGCCGAATACATAGATATGAATTAATACTTCTTTGAAAATACATTAAAAACCCTTCTAAGCGTTAAACCTTTGCCAAAAAGAGTAGGCTATCTTAAACTGTCTGATTCGTTAAGCGAGTTTGACACTGGAAGTATCGAAGCTAACGAAACACGCCACAAGGTCAGTGTTTTAGTTAAGAAAATAAAGCACATATAATCGTTTCAGTTACATTAAAACATACCGTTATCTTGTGTTCCACTACAAAGCGTCCTGGCGGTGCATTTGACCAACATTTGTTTGCTTTTTTGGACATTTTTCACCCAGGAGTATCTCCGAAATAAGCACCGTGCTGTACCGAGCGCCGCCATGTTTGTTATTACCTCACTGA